CCTTACCTTTTCCTAATTGCAACACAATTCCTTAGTGTACATGTCAATAGTAGTTCTTTAAAGGGTATCACAATTGGTAACACTACAATAAAAATGAGTCAGTTAGCAGATGATACAGCTTTATTCTTGAATGATTCTTCACAGGTCCCAATGGCTCTGAGTATTCTTCAGTCCTTCTCTAAAGCTTCTGGATTAAATTTAAATTTTAATAAATGTGAATTGCTTCCCATTAAAAACTGCTCTCTTACCTCCATTGAGAATATTTCTGTTAAAAATAGGGTAACATATCTAGGTATACAAATTACTAAAGATGAATGTAGATGTCCAGCAAACTTCAAACCTATTATTTCTAAGAATCAAAAAAGATGCAATAGCTGGCTACAAAGGGATCTGTCCTTAAAGGGCAGAACACTGCTCACTAAGGCAGAGGGTCTGTCCCGTTTGGCCTATGCAGCTCAGTCTCTCTTTGTGGATAAGCCCACTTCTAAATTAATTAATGAGGTTTTAATAAAATTCTTATGGAAAAATAAGCCACATTATGTGAACATCAGTCATTCTAAACTCTTATAATAATGGTGGTCTGAATTTTATTGACTTTGACTCCCTCAACAATACCTTTAAAATTAATTGGCTGAATCAGTACCTAACCAATCCTTCTTCTATTTGGAATGTTTTTCCTCAACTTGTTTTCTCACAACTTGGTGGCATTAATTTTCTGTTAGTGTAATTATGATATCTCCAAACTCCCTATCAAACTATCCAATTTTCATCGTCAGGCTCTTTTAGCTTGGGCTCTTATTTATAAACATAACTTTTCGCCACAAAGATGTTATATTTGGAACAATAAGAACATCTTGTTCAAGAATAAATCCCTGTTTTTTGACAGTTGGTTCAATAATGGTTTATTTTTAGTAGAGCAGTTAACCAGCCAGCCAAACGAGGACATCTTAAACATATGCCCTGTAAAATAATGATCGGAGATTCATAAGCAAGGTCTTTTGTTCAGCAAGATAAGCAAGGTCTTTTGTTCAGATATGCAGAATTTCTCTCCGAATATCAAATACCAATAACCCCAAAAGAATTTGCTACAGTAATGGGCGCTATTCCCTCAGGTTTATGTATGCTTTTTAAAAACTGTAATCACTCCTCCGCAGTATCTACTGCACACTTTCCTAAACCCTGTGATACTCCTATTGGTCAAATCTGTTTCTCCGAGTCGAAAGCAAAAAACTATAAAATAAGATCTTTATTTGTCAAGGATTTGATTTCTGTCCCACCTGTTATTTCCTTTTGGAATAATTTGTTTGTTAACCTTAATTGGAAAAAAATCTGGTCTTTACAGCAGAAATTCTTTCTCACAAATAAAGTGAAAGAAATTTCCTTCAAGCTCATACACAGGTTCTACCCTGTTAAGACATTTATACAAAGATTTAAATCAGACATTGAGCTAACATGCTCTTTTTGCTTGAAGTCTGATGAAACAGTGGTTCACTTATTTTGGTCATGTCACTACACTCAGAAGTTTTGGAAGGATATTGATATATTTATCAAGTGTAAGATTTGGCCAGGCTTTTCAATACAGATGAGAAACATTTTATTTGGATATTTTGACTCAGAACCCAAACATGCAAATATCTGTTTTGTTATTAATTTAATTCTTTTCTTAAGCAAATTTTACATTCACAAATGCAAATTTTCAAACTGTAAACCTTTTTTCTCTGTCTTCTTAAAAGAGATAGAAAATTATTTAAGTGTGATTTCAACATCTACTAATACGAAAGCCATAAGGACTATTAGAATCTGCACTGCCTTTAATCTCTTCATGTGAAACCTTTTAGTAATTTTATTGCCCTACTCTTTTTTTATTATTTTATTTTATTTATTTTTGTTATTGTCCTTTATTGTTTTGATTGATATTATGTGATGTATGCTTTCTCCTTTGTATTGTGTTTTATTATGTATCCTGTTCTCAGCATTAATAAAAAAAAGATCTCTCGGAAAAAAAAAAAATGGAAAGATTAATGCAAATGGGTGGAGTTGCCCTTTAACTCTAATGTCCCCGCTGCATGCAACTTGCGCAAAATGGAGGACACCCGCGAACTCAACGTGTGTTACTGAACTCGCGTCACTTAAACTATTATTTTACCCATCAATATCACACAACCTCTAAATAACAGTACTGTGCATACTGTCTTTCTATCTCCATTGCATAATACCAATTATCGTTTCACATACGAAGTTTCATTGCCGCATTGTTTAAGGTTTTGAGTAATTGTTATAGCAGCATACAGCGCATCTTTTTGAAATTCCGATCGGCTCGAACAGAAACCCGCTAGGCATACTGCAATATATTCAAGCACTTCAAGAAATATATTTACTTTGAACCGTGATACAGGTGATGCTAAACAGCTAACATTCCAATGCCGACCGGCAGCATTAGCAAGTTTTCAGACTGATAAAAAGCTATTTATGTAACACGTCACACCATATAAGAGTACAAATAAATGTTTACCTGCTCAACAAAAAGTCAGCAGTGTCAGCATCGGTATTCAGTCCCAGATCTCGCTGAAGTTTCCTCCATCGGTCAATGGTGAACCCTATATTTATCCTACTCAACTTTCGGCGTTCTTCACATTTTCTTTTCGTCTCTGCTTTTTCCTCAAACGACTTTCTCTTCCGTCCTAACTTTCTTGTAGGGGCAAGCAGGGGACGCTTGCTGATGTATTTTTCGTTGTTATCCATTGCTGTCTGATGTGCTACTTAGCTAGTAGCTACCATGTGCGGTCACCTGCTAACGTGCGCGATTCTCATGACGCAGAAGGGGGGCGCGGTCGGGCGTGGTTGGGCGCGGTCGGGGTGGAGACGCGAGCTCCAGGCGGAGTTTCAAGTGTAGCTGGTGATTGGATGAGAGCAGTTGCAAAGCTTCCATTGGTCATCTTTTATGTGGCTTTACAGCCAATAGAGTGAATGGATTTTTTTCGTTCTTTTTTCTATTTATATTGTTAGGATTATACTATATAACCATAAACAGCATCTAAACGAGGATATTAATAATGAACAATCTTTGAAACCGTATAGCTTTAACATAAATCCTAAATACTCAAATACTAAACATCACTGTTCGTGGACCCATTTGACACAAGTAGACCACGTCTCTACAACGACCAGTTGACCACGTCTCTACAACGTTCTCCATAGGATAAAGTAGCGACATCTTTTGAGGACGTGCCCACAACGTTTCTGGAACGTTAGCAAAGATCTTAAAAAATGGAACTTTACCACGACGTTCTCACAACCTGTCCTGTCCTAATGACTAAATAAAACAATGCAACTGCACAAACAGGCTTTAAAAGTTTTATTAAAATAGGAAAAACAGAACAAATATTTTTACAGCATTATAAAAATGAATAACTGCGCAAATGGCATTAAAAGCATGAACAATAAAAGAGGAAAGGAAGGGGGGGGGGGGGGTGTCCTCCGATACACGAGTGTATGAATGACACTCGTGTATCATTCATCTTCCAAATCTGTCACTCGTGTACAATTGGTCCTTCCAAACCAGCCAAACGAGGACATCTTAAACATATGCCCTGTAAAATAATGATCGGAGATTGAATTAATAATGACAATAATCAATAATGATAATAATAATAATAATAATCATGCGCAAAATACACGCGCTTCTCCAGTCTGAAGATATACACTTTTTTCTGGTAAGTTTCAATTCACGACTCTTCATTGAATAGCATCTCATCCTTACATGACTGTTAAAGTTAACTTAGCCTAAATTTTCGTTAACCTGTGCTCTAAAAAACAAACAAACACTGATTTGCTATTTCTAATTGTAGCTAAATTAATTTTAAATGATGTTTCGTTAAGAAATTGCCTAGATTTAATAAATATAACTTGGCAACCCATGATTACACATTGTCAATCATATGATCATAAGATTGTCACTTGGGGTTATGTTTAATTATGGACCACGAATAAAATTTCATTATTGGCTATGTATGTATATTTCTTTTTTTCTTTTTTTTTTTTGATTATTATAACTATTATTTTCACTTGTAGGCTCTGTAATGTATTATTTTGATGGAACGGGTTATTATGGGGGTAAGCTTTAACTTTAAGTGTATCTGTTTTGTTAATGATTTCTGTTAATGCTTTAAATAATAAAAAAGAAACTAAATAAAAAACATGTTGCGTTTATATTCTGGGCTCATCTGATTTTGTGTAGTATAATCTACTTTATAATGATTTTAGTATCATAATGATTAATAAATGCACGCACAATTAGTGAATTTGATAAATGGTCCAGGTATGTTTTACTATGCATAAAAAATGTCTTTCAACGTGCAAAATTCAGAATTAAATTAATATACAGCAAATTGTACAAATCAAGTCTGTAGGCCTATGTAGCCATTAAATAAGCACATTTAGTTTCATATTTGTTTAAATATTATAATGCTTTCCCCCCATGTTGATTATGAAAATTGAGCATGAGATAGGATAAGCAATTATATCTAAAGACATGAAGTGGGTTGATTTGGACTCATTATTAGCCTGTTTTGTATAAAGCTTTCTTTAAAGTGAATTTAGTTTTGTATAAATTGTATCTTAATCATTTTTTTTAATTAATCAACCAATTGCCTGTATTTAATAAATAAGAACAGACAACAGACAATTGCAGATAATATTAACAATGACATGGAGGCTCGCATTGCCCCTGAACTTGAGTGCATCTCATCATAAATTAACCGAAATATGCCTTGCAGACATGAGAAATATATATACATATATATATATATATATATATACTAATATATATACTATATATACTAAACTATTCCAAACGAAAAGAAATAGGCTGTGAGAGTTGTTACAGTAGCTATTTCAGCATTGACGACTCGCATAATATGGCTACATTATTACTCGCGTGCCAAGCACGCGAACATGCAAGCTGCAGCTGTTGTCATGACTACCGCGCACAGCGCTCGTTTGTTGTGGAAACCTGCACATCCAGCATACAGCTACTTTTTCAGAGGTAAGTTATACTTCTTTTAAGGTAAATTACTTTTAAAACGTATGAGCCCATTGGGTAAATGGTATTTAGAAGAAAGAAAAGAAGAAGAAAGTAAAATATGTAAGCTACTATATAAACCTCTTATATTGTGTCTTTTTCAGAAAATGTACCACTAACGTTACTGTTCACATAATGATTTGCCGTCTTTTTTTACCGTCCACTTGTAAATAAATGCTGCTTTCACCTGATGAACATGTAAACCTCTTATAAAATTGTGTCTTTTTCAGTAAATTTACCACTAACGTTACTGTTCACATAACATTTTCCGTCTTCTTTTCTACCGTCCACTTGTCAGGACTGTTAAATACCGTTACATATGATTATTTGAATCAAGGTGCTGAGCTATAGTTGTCAACCCTCCCGTTTTTTCCGGGTTTCTTACGTATTTTATCTCTGTTCCCGCTGTCTTCCTGTTTTAGTATTTTCCCGTAAAATATCCCGTATTTTTACGCTCTGATTGTGTGAGACGTAGGCTACAAGCTCGGACCGATTCGGCTTAAATTCGTTCATACTCGGATGCAGCGCCACGCGCGCTGGCCGGAGACACACTGCGTGCGTCTATAGTTTGTCTTTTCGACAACACTTGAAAAATCCGCGATTGCTGTCAATCAAAAGACCCTCCAATTATTATGGGGAAGACCGGAGTCCGGGCCAGCCCCCTCCTCATTCACCCCGAGACGCTGAGCATCCATGGGTGGGACAAAATCACAGCATTTATCCAATGACCGTTTAGTTGGGATATTTTTACGTTCTATTATTATGTAACATACTGTATATAAATATATATATATAAATATATATATATCATATAATGTAGCTACTTATTTTAGTGGGATCAGTTTTTCAGAAACTGAATACTATGTGTATTGATACTGCTGTGACTTTGTTTGAATTATGTATTGTGGTAGTATTTGATTGATTGATTGATTGACTCCAAGCAAGGAAACTGGAAAAGAAGACCAGGAACCAAACCTGAAAGGTCTTCCTTTTGCGTCTCATCAGTTAATGGAGCGTGTGCTTTCACTCGCAGTCTGAAGAGTCACAGCACCTCAATAGGTACTATTACACCTTATTTGGGAAAATGTGTACTTAATAGGTATCATCATCATCATCATCATCATATTAATATGTGTTTTCTCTGAGCATAGAGTCTGAATGGACAGATGAAAATGACAACATCCTATATGGTTCCTATGATGCATCTCTAACACAGCAGCTGACTGAAGACTGTGATCTCAGGACTGACCTGATCGGCCTGCTCACTGAGGTAGCATTATCATTATCACATGTATTTTGCTCATGTGAGAAGCACAAGGTTGTTGATATCAAAGATTCAATAACTTACTTGTCATTTACTGCTACATTTTTTTAAGTTTACAGTTTTTTAGTACATTTAGTAGGGATGCACTGTCACAGTGTCTGGTTGTGTTTCCCTGGGTTCACTAGAGGTCCTCGTTCTCACGGTGTCATTTACATTAGACTACATTTCACAGCATTCTGTTCTGCCACTCATCCAATCATTTCACACATTGTTAGTTGTGTGTGTATATATACCCTGTCTGTTTTAGTGTTTGGCACGGAGTCCTACTTTAATGTCCCCACACTTTGGATCTCGTTTTGTGTTTCTTTGTATGTTCATGTCGTTTGGGTTGCTTACATGTTATTTGACCCCTGCCTGGACTGAACAGAATGGCCTGACTTTATATTTGTGAAATGATGTTACATTAAACACACCTGCACAAAACAAACAACAGACGGACCGAATGAAAATGCAAATTCACTCTCTGACAGTAGGTGGCGCTTATGGAAGGGCAGTGATATAGCCAATCCTTGGTTGCGCTGTACACAAAGCAGCGTGGCGCTTATAAACACGGAGCTAAAGGAAGAGAAAATGCCATTTAAACTTTTCTGGAGACAGTCAGTTCCCTTCCGAGAAGGGATTCATATAAACCCCCACCCCCAATTCAGTATTTATATTTTTCATCCACTATTTCAAGCATCGTGAACAGTGAGCTTGCTGTGCCTGATACAGTTTTGCGTTTGTCTTCAGCGTGTCCCATCTCTGGCCTGTGTTCTGTTTTCTATTTCCACACAAATGAAATTTTGGGTAATGATTGCAGAGATCGGAACAGAGGTCGGCCAAAATAAAATGTCCGGATGTCGATCGTGTGTTTGGAGCAACAACAAAAAAAACACACTGGACAACTGGTCCATCTCTACATTTTTCATAGTTCTTTCTGAATCTTTCCTGTTTTTACAGAGCCCATCAATTTATGATGCAGGCTGAATTTTTACATTTAATGTAAAACGTTTTTGGACTAGGGAATTTGTCCATGTGAAGACACATCTCATCAGTCACCACAACACAGTCTCTGATCTGAAGCAACAGGATTTATTTACAGACCTTGCTGAAGATAGATGAACTTGACTTATGCTTTAGCCTATGTAAAGAACTACATTCAAATGGACTTAAAGTATAAACAAGTTAGTGTATTAACTATTGCATGGTTATTATGCTTTCGCACCACAAGATGGTGCTGCTGCATATATCTATGTAATCTAAATAGTATCAAATTACCTTGTAGAAAAATCCTGTTATTAAGTTATACGCCATCTTAAATTTGCACAATATTCCCCATTACAATTATTTTTTTTGCAATATTAATTTTTTCCTGTCACTTCTGCTCATGTACAGATGGTAAATATCTATAAGGCAGAGCTGAGCTCGAAGAAGCGATCTTGCTGTCCACCCGTGAGGAGTGTGTGAGGTATCCTGACATTCCATACCATGTAGGGCAAAACCACCCGTCTCCTCCTGCCTCGGTTCCCACTCTTTTCCTACATCTCTAAGCCTTCAACCCTATAAGCTTAATACCTCACATCAAATGAAGGACAATAATGGTGTACAATACAATAAGAAAGAGACGTAGAAGGCAGTGAAATAGGTGGAGTAGAAAGACCAAGGACCAAACCTATATGCGGCAGTGAACTTATCCCTTGGAAAGGTACAGTGAATCTCTCTCTCATTCCGTAAGCCGCCTCTCCTCTGATATCGAAGCGCTGAATCACTCTGGGGAAGCCGCTGTGTAATAGGAGAACGCTTCTGTGCAGCTGCGGCCTATATATGTACGCTGATAATTAACAGCGATGCTCATCAGATTGGAGCTGCCCACTGCTTCAGCATGCCACATCAATGTAGTCAATGTAGTTGTGGTCATATTACTGTTGATGGTTACCCTTGAGCTTGTGTGTAAATGTATGTGTGTATGTTTAGTGCATCTATTTATATGTGCTTTATAGGCAGCAGTGCCAGCTTGATGGAACATGTTTCAATGTGACGCTATCAAAGTGTGTGCCATCAAGCTATTTTAAACATGCCTTCAGCAAACCACATTATTATATTAGCCTATATTATATTATAGTTAATGTACCTATGTGTGTCTCTATGTGTGCCGATATCAATTTTAGTTATTTAAATCTTAATGGAGTAGTTCACTTTAAAAAAAACAAACAAAAAAAAAAACTTTTGCTGATAATTTACTCACCCCATGTCATCCAAGATGTCCACGTCATTCTTTCTTCAGTTGAAAAGAAATTAAGGTTTTTGATGAAAACATTCCAGGATTTTCTCCGTATAGTGGACTTCAATGGGAACCAAACGGTTCAAGGTCCAAAAGGCAGCTTCAAAGGGCTTTAAATGACACCAGATGATGAATAAGGGTCTTATCTAGCGAAACGATCGGTCATTTCAATAATAAATAAGTTTTATAAGCACAAATGCTTGCCTTGCTCTGTTCTGTGATGAGTGTTCGTGACTCTCCTGTTCAAACTCGTTCATCAAAATGAACAAATCTTTTTTCGAGTCAAGACTCGAAGGGTCCTAGATAAGACTCATAAGATTCATCGTCTGGTGTCGTTTAAAGCCCTTTGAAGCTGCACTGAAACTGTCTTTTGGACCTTGAACCGTTTGGTTCCCATTGAAGTGCATTATATGGAGATAATCCTGGAATGTTTTAATCAAAAACCTTAATTTCTTTTCGACTGAAGAAAGAATGACGTGGACATCTTGAATGACATGGGGGTGAGTAAATTATCAGCAAAAGTTTTTTTTAAAGTGAACTACTCTTTTAAAACATACATTCAACTAACCAAATTTGCGCTGCAAAAACTAATTGTTAAAATCGATTATCAGAAATGAAAATAATCGACAGTCGCCCCAATAGTCGCGTCTACGAGCTGTGCTGCTCGTAGCAGTGAAAAACAAACAAACATTTCTATGGACAAAAGAAACACATATAGAAAATAGCGCAGGACACAGAGTGAGCTGCTGCTGGAATGGTTCATGATCCAAGTTGTCCGAAACACGAGAATATTATTCTCTTTATATTTACAAGCATTTTAAACAAAAGCATAAGCGTTACTGCATCTTGCACTGTCGTGGCTTGACGTGTTTACAGTGTGCCTCTGACACGTGTTTTCCTCAGCGCATAACTTACATTTTATAGTTATGTAGTTAGCTGTAAATGTTAGAAAGTCCCAGTCATTTAGCATATTCTGACAAACAACAAGCGAGTCTTGTTAAACTTAAATGAACAGCATTATAATTTTTAATTAAGTTGTTTTAATTTCTGACTTTGACTTCCATAGTATGTAAAAAAAAAAGTAAGTGATGACATTGAGTAAGTTTACATTTTTGGGTGAACTATCCCTTTAATTGTCCATGTACTATATCAAATAAATTAGGTCTCGTGCAGTCTAAAAGAAAAAAAACAAAAAGTCAAAGATTAGCTTGAAGTTGAACTTAAATCTTGAATGTCACACAAAGTCATAATATGGCTGTAAAAATGATTTATGCCAGTTCAACATTTTCTTAGTGTAAATAATACAATTTCTGCTCTATAATAAGACATGGACACTTTTATGATAATGTTATTTAGTGTAATAAAAAGGCCCAAGCTGAAAGGGAACGCTAGTTTGTGATGGAATGTAATGAAATATATGCTGAGATATTGGCAATGACCCAGAAAGATCCCGTGCTTAACCAAAACTCTGCCTCTTCTCATAAAAGAGCTAAACGATCTGACCAGACCAGCTAAAGTGTGAACAGTGTGTGTGTGGACATCAGTATGTATGTGAGTGTACAAGCAGCCGAGTTTGTTTGTATTCATTTTGTTCAGTTGTGATTGTGTGTGTCTATATTTGTTTAGTGTGACTCTGTGTTATAATGGATCTGTCTCTGTATGATTCTAGAAATATATGGCACAAACTAAGTGTGTGTGAGTGCTGCTGTGTGTGTGTGTGTGTGTGTTTATGGTGTAATGGCCTCTGTGTGACCCCAGAAGAGAGCAATGGAAGTTTACTTTCTGCTAGAAACATTTCAATACTTGCATGTCTCCTTTCATATTTTCCACACAGCCCTGCTGTTTCCTGCTGTGCTTATACATACACTTCTCCTCAATCTTACATTGTAAGTGCTGTGTTTCTTTTTTGAACCTCCATGTGTGACATTGTTTTAGCTAGCAATAACACGCTACACCACCCTTTCTACCTGGTGCTGAAATACTGAACAAATCAGCTTTCCTAAAACCATGTGTCTTTCTTTACAGACATTTGGTTTTCTTATTGTGAGAATATGATGGCTATGGCTGATGTAGCTATACACTATATCTTAAAGGGACACTCCACCTATTTGCATTAAGCTTTCCATTGTTAGAAACCCAGTTATAATATTGAATGGTCGTGCAACACTCTCTCATTTTCCCCTGAGATGAGGGAAATCTGCTATTTACCTTTTTCACTTCCTCCTACAATGACGCAAAAATCGTAATTTTACGTCATTGTATTAGTGAGAGGGAGTATTTATGTAGAGACTACAAGCACTAGTTCCCACTCTTTCAAACCCGCCCATAGGGGGTTGGGCCTAATGTGCTAACAGACCTATCACAGATCAGAGCCAGTGCATTTGATTTCACCGGCAGAAACTTTTTGAAAATAAGGATGAAGGTACTTAATACGCAGATGGATGCATTATGGAGGATTGGGATTACACATAGTGTCATCCATCTTTTTTGGAAGCTACGTTAGCAGGCTCTTGTTCTGTGAAGAAAGCCGAGATGACGCCATGCACATGTGTATTATGTGTTAAGTCTACAGTGTGTCATAAGGGTGTCACGATTTTGGATCGAAATTAATTCGAAATTAATTGAGTCTCCCGCATATTGATAGCGGCTCCCTGTTAAAATCTCCCAGAATCTAAAGTGA